GGTCAGACATCAAATTAAAGAAAGACAAGCCTGTTTCTAATCATTTCAACCTCGACGACCACTCAATAGACGATCTCGCCCTAATCCCAATTGATCGTATAGAAATTGACTTGCCCGAAGATGAAACTACCAAATTCCGTCAATCTAGGGAAGCCCATTGGATTGAGACATTGAATACAGCAAGACCTATAGGACTAAATATTCATCATAATGTAGGCATAGCACCCTTTGTTGTCCCGTTTAATACAACCAGCAATCGAGCAAGCAAGATAGTTCATGCCCACTATAAGAGCCTTCAAGAGAAATTCCCCCATGTCTATAAGCAGAAAATGATAGTTGCATATTCAAAAAATAAGAACTTAAATGATAATATTGTTCATAGTAAACTAAAAACAATCAGCACATAACAGATACTATACTTCTCGCCCATTGGGCGAGTTATTTTTTCTAATTTCAGATCAGAATAAGAACAGAAGAAAACTCAATATCAAGACCCTTAATCCTAATTTCTAAATAAAGTGTATGCTCCACCCTAGGCCTGTACATTTGGGAGAATCAAACCCTCCCTTCCCCGCAACCTAGTACACAACACATAAAATTTTTTAAAAAACCCCTTAACAATCCCTTTAAAGGGAAACATTTGGCATTTTTAGGATTTGAGTCTTAAAATTAAATTACAAATAGTAAATAGCCTTCAAAAGTAGTAGAACTCCACTAAAATAGCATAATCCCTTATACTCTAAAACATTTGTCTTTAAATTTCTGTATATGTAATTTCTATATAAGGCCTAGTCTCATTAATGAGTTATAATTAGACGCTGATAATTATGGATACACGTGGATTTGTAAGCTCAAATTTCCAGTGAGAACTGTGCAAAATATGACTGATTAGCTTAGCTAAAAAAATTTCCGTTTCTGAGACTAGGGTTTGATTGGTCGAATGAGTGGTGAACGTGCCCCTTTAATTACTAAACTATTCCAATTAAGGTATTTATATACCTGATGAGGTAAAAGTAATGTATTTGCAACAAAGAAATTGATATTTTGCTAAGTTTGACAATTTTTGTCAGTTTCAGTTATTCTGAAGGGCACAAAAAAATATCACTAAGTTACTATGTTACTATAAACTAAGTTATTGACTGATGAAAAGCAGTGTCATATATTTATCCTTGAAAGTCTGTTCATCTTCATATTTTCCTACAAAAGATTTGACAGATATTTACAATTTATATTCATGATATATGTGGTAACTTCAACCCTAGAGTTGGATGGTCGTCTGCTGGTGCCGTGGGTTCGAATTACTTTTAATTTAAAGAGATACTACTTCTTAAAATGATCAAAAAGTGTAAGTTCTCTAACTTGGCCAATAAGAGTATATGTTCATCGACAGTGTCAAAAGTATCTAAATGGAATCCGATAAACTAAGTTATTACTCAAAAACGCTTAAAAATTTGTAACCGTTAATCAATAATTATATATAATGTAGTTTTATGGATTTATCAGATTATGTTGGTAATCTGTTGTATGTGTATGACACCAGATACGTTGCCTGATAAATGTATACTCTTATTTACCAAGTTTGAGAATGTAGATTTTGTAGACCAATTTATTATTTAAAAGATTAATTTAAAACAAAAACATTGGGTGAACAAATATATATTTATTGTAGCCTCAATATTAAAATGTAGGCAGGCGGAAATGGTAACTGGATCGTTCGTTTTGGGGATGGGGTTTTGCTTTTCAGCCCCGAAACCACGCAAATTCTTTTCGTCAACGATAGCAGTGTCGTAATCTATCTTAACTCGGAGAACACTATTGCAAAGAATACACTGGAACCAATATCCCGATTTCCTCAATGAAAGAAACACGTTTTGAAAACCAATTCTTGTGGGCGAATAAAAACGAATAACAAAAAACATATTTTTTTTATTTTATCCAAATATTGTACAACGAAAAATTGTATTATACACCACATTTTAAGCAAATTATTTCTTCAAAACATCAAAAGAAAGACAGCTGACATACGACCACAGCCCGCTGTTAGGTATAATAACAGAGTGACTTCAAAATTTTCTCATAATCTTAAAGAAGTATAGACTGTTGGTTAACGTTTAGGCTAATTGCCTTCTTCAGAAACACTTCAGTAGCTTATGATCACATTTCCCCCGTCTTTCCTTTACCAATATACAGTTAAGAATCTATATAAGTACAAGAAAGACGGAAAAATTTCAACATACAACATCTACATATATTTAATATTTTAATTTTATAAACAGATTGATGGATTGACACCATTTAATAGTCAAGGGCAATTCTTACACGAAAAATACCAATTAATGTAGGCATACCAAGCGTCAAAAAGATAATTGTTTCCTATGTCATATTTTCAAACCATATTTGACCACGGAAATATCTCAAAACCAAAATCTAATTATTTTCACTCGAACTTGACCTACATCTCATCCATATATACATGCTTAACAAGTTATTTAAGATCGGATGACACTTCATTCCACGCAGTTACATGGATATTTTAGTCGATGATGTTAGTAATTTTGATGATTGTTTTTCGCACTGTAATTAAAAGCTCAATGTGGTCACCGCTTGAAAGGATTATCTTTATAATTCATTAATCTGTTTACATACAAATGTATTAAAATATATAGGCTGAATAACGATCTAAAACAAACAAATATAACTGTTAGAAAAAAAAAATCCATGAATGGTTCCGATGCAGTGCGTGTCCGAGGTATTTTTTACCAAAAATAAAAGAATGTTGATATTCGGTAGCAAAAATTCTACAAACCACTTAAAGTCGATTATTATAATCTCTGTAAAACTGATAGAATAAATCTCGTCAAGCACAATAACGTTGATATGGTCAAAAGGTCAAATAAAAGAAATATAATCCTTAAAAGTTTCGAAAATTGCGGTTTTCGGACGTCTGTTAAACCGGAAGTGTACATCAGACATAAAAAATCAAAGTATGATAGGCATCCTAGATCAACGGTCAGGGTCATTTATACTCGAGTTCACAAATGAAAATTTTGAAAATTGTAAACCTGTATCTTTTTTTAAAGTAAATGGTCCAAAATGTGAGCTATTTTCATGCAAAATTTTGGGGATGACAATTGCAAACTTTGCGAGTTGACAATTGCAAGTATTTAAGGTAACGGTGAAAGTGCCACGCCCACTTAAAAATAATGTGAACATTGTTAAATACTGTTTACGATCATTACATCATGAGATATTTGTTATTTTACGTTAAAGGCTCGAGTTTATACGGCAAAAATCAAATTACAAATAGAAGTCAGTGCAAATTCAAATTTTAAAAAGCGCGATTTTAATCAACATACCAAGTGTTATATATCATTTGAAAGAATAGATTGCGTGTGAAAAGGACATAAGATAAATTTTCACGTATGTAAATAAGGTCACCTGACAGAGCTCTTCAAAGTTATAAATCGCAATTTACAAATGGCTGTTAAACGGAAGTTAACGATGCACAACAATAGTGAAGATATCATTGAATAGATCTCGCCTGGGGCTATAACTTTTGTGCAGATCACAAGGTCACCTAAGGTCAAGGTCACTAGATAAGAGCCTTAATAGCCTTGACAATTACTGAAAACTTAAAACCGGAAATAAAAAAAAGCAAAGCAAAAATCGGCTTCAAATGTTTTGTTAGCAATCGATTGAACATTCATGTAAATAGGATCAAACCCTGAGTTTGAATTTCGATGAACTGAACATTTACATCTACATCGATTTTTGTCATTTTACTTTTTTTGTATAATTAATTCTAACACATTGCAAAAAGAATTTTTCACTATCTTCAAAATTCCGGAAGTTGAAATTTCAAGTTTAGTGCCGAATGACGTCAAAAACGGAAGTGATATAAAAATTTTGAAAACAGATATTTGTTTGCCATCAAAATATCTATTTGCTTGTAAATTTTCAGATCATTCGAAATAAAATTGTAGAATTTAAAAAAAAACGCATAAATTAAAACTTAAAGTGCTATCTTTCAGCAATTAGTTCAAAGTTATGAACAAAACAAAAATTACGATCAAAACAGATTCAAAATTGGAGCTGTAATTCGAAATTCGTACTGAAAGGTTAACGTACTATGTCATTTCCGGTTGAGTGAAATTGCGTCATTTCACATTCATCCACTAATGAGCACATATTTATCGTGGGAAATAATGTCAGATAATGTATGACGTGTAGTTTTGGTTAGGGATCGTGACCAGATATCGAAAAAAAAAACTAGAACCATTGGAACGGTTCTTAGGCAGTGCGCATCCAATTGATACATGGGTGAAACGTTGCATTTTAAAGTCATGATGGGATTTCTTTCCAAAAAGAACCAGTTGTTGCCTAGCAAGATACGCCCACATCCCTGATACATTTTCAGGATATCAAAGGCGGTCGCCTATCGGTGTCAAATCGTACCAAAAATCTAATTTGTACAAGATATTGTTGATTAAATCAAACACACAAAATTTCATAAAGTTTGTACATAGACTGCAAACAAATTTTGTCAAAGGCAAAAACTCAAATTCCATTCATTGAAAAATCGTCAAATTTAAACTTGACCAAGACTTGTAATAGATGATCACGCCAGATTTCATTAAAATCATATGAAAACTGAAGTCTCTATATGGTTCACAAACATATTTTTACACGTTTTTTCTAAGTCAACTCAAAAACCACTCATCGAAAATTGTCAAATTCGAACTTTGCCAAGTAATCATCAGTATAAATGATCACACCAAATTTCATTTTAATCGGATGAAAACTGTAGTCTCTATTGTGTTCACAAACAAATTTTGTCGGTTTTTCATAAGTCAGTATACTCAAATAAACTCAAAGATAGTGGACCACAACCATATACTAATATGTTAGAATTAGAGTAATAGCATATTCAAGATTATGGGGCAAGGGCAAGGGCAATAACTCTGCTTCTAACGGTCGAAAATAGCTCAAATTCGAACTTGATCTTCGTTTTATGAATATGTATACACATACCGAATTTCATTTGATTCCATCAAAAAATCTAACCGTTCATTGAAAAATCGTTAAATTCGAACTTAACCAAGATCTGATCATGATAAATGATCACAAAAATTTTCATTAAAATCTGGTGAAAACTGTAGTCTCTATTGTGTTCATGATATATACAGAGATAAATCTCGTCAAGCACAATAACTTTTGTTATGATCAAGAGGTCAACAAAGGTCAAATAATATAGAATATTTGAAAATTGTTGTTTTCAAACAGCTCTAAAAGTATACGTCAAAGATCAAATAAATATAAATAGATATCGTAAATCAAGGTCATCCATTTCAAAGTAAAAAAAATTTTTTTTTTAAATTATAAAACCTTTTTGAAATATAAAGCCCAGACAACCGTGTCTTTATCAGGAACTGGCCAAAGTATTGTCCTATTTTGATGCAAAGTTTAAAGGTTGACAAATGCATACTTTGCAAATTATAAAAAAATTCAATCAGGTTAGGTAAATGTGAATCTAACCCGGATGTGGCGCGCCCACCCCAATTTTTTTTTTTATTATATCTGTTATCATCTATTCAATATTACAAAGACGCATTAATTCGATAACATTCGGTAGTAAAAATTTGATCTTTATAATAGCTGTAAAACTGGAAATAAACATCGCACAATACTTTTTTGAATAGATCTCGTCAAGCACAATGACTTTTGTTCTGGTCAAAGGTCAAATAATACTAATATGAGCCTTAAAAAATTCGAAAATTTGACTTAGTTTTTAACCGAACACAAAAAATTCATATTCCCACATATCTGTTGAATATTCATCTTTCACACAAGAAACTATTCCTGTCTCAATCAATCTACTCTCAATAAATAGTAAAGTTTTTCTTGACATTTCAGAAGTCATATTGGAAAATAAGTTTTCTTGTCTGCTGCAATCTATCAATGGTATATTCTTTATGATTGGAGATTTTTTGTATAAATGGGGATTGCCAATAAAGAAATTTGGCAACCATTGCCTCTCAACTGCTGTACGAAGGAAGTGAATTGCATCTGATAATCGAAAAGGAAGAACGTCAAAAGTCCAATTACTTGGTGAGCTCTCTAACATGAGAAAAAACATTATAGTTTCCAAATAGTATGGCTTAATTTCAACGCTATTAACAAATGTGGGGCTACTGTTATTCGAAAATAGATTTTTAAAACTTTCTAAGCAGATATGAAGACAAGATTGGATTCCAGTTTCTTCAATCTTCTGTAACCAGTTCTCCAGGTATAGATATTCCAGCTCACATAAAGATAATTTCCAAGCAAAATTTATATCAAATATTTCTGGCTGCTTGAATATATTATCTTTAACATTGTATAAATGAGGCGGAACAATGGCATAAATATTTGGAAGCAGTAAAGAATTTTCAAATTGTAAGGGAACCCCAGGTGTCAATTTAATATAGATTTCAGGGATACCAAACCCAGGACCTTGTAACAAACGAGTGTTTAAAACCAATGTCAATTCTGCATCAGTTGTTCGACTTAGTGTAAAAGGGATTCTGTCCATGATTTTTTTATTGCGGTTCATTATATTATTTAATGCTGTATCCAATAACAGGCTTGCATTTAGCATAGTTTCAGAAGGGATAAATACCTGATGAATATTGTCACATATATGGGCCTTTTTCAGAAACTTCTTTCCTTGAAAATGTGGTTTCACATAATGAGCGGTAATCAAAATATTTCCGGGAGAAATATCCCCGAAACTACCATTATGATAGGCAAGGTCCAAGCAACATTTTGTACATTTCAACAGCATTAGGAAATCAAAAGAGCTAGCATCACTTATCTTAGTTCCTTTGCTCATACTTCCAATCAGTTTAAATCTTACAAATCGGAAACCACATTCGGACTCCAGTTCACTAATTTCTTTTTCTATTAAAAGCATAACATAGTTTACAATAAAAATTGCACAAGTGAGCTGCCCTGGATCTATTGTACAAGACTGAAAAGCTTGCAAAATTATTCTCAACTCCGGATCTGAAATATCAATCAGCTGTGGCTTATAATTTTTATATGACCATGCCATCCTATGCTTCATTGCCTCTGTTTCAAACCAAAATAATTCACAACTTTCAAGTGGAGTATCTGAACCAATGCGATAAGATTTAACCGGTTTTCTCATCTGCATCCTTGATGATCGCATGGCTAATGAAAGTTTTTCTAATTTGGTTTCAGAAGATTCTCGGACTGATTGGTTATCAATTAAAACTGAACTCAGAAAATTTAAATTTTCTTGTAATAAGGATACTACTGCGATATTTTTGTCCAATTCACTTAAAAACTTGTCAACAGTCTGCTTAAGGAAAAAGTCTGTTTTAGTTTTCTTCCAGAAAATCGAAAAACCATGTGCAACATTTCTTTCAAAAATAAGTCTCACAGGATTCTGTTTAACTTCTTTCCTAATCAAGCTATCAGATTCAATGTCAGACATGCTTGAATTAGAAATGTCCGAATCATCTAGTGTTTGTCTTCCACAATCATCACCCATAAACTGTTTATATTTCTCAGTAGAGGTTTTTGGCTTTCTGTATGTTTTTTTCCACATATAAACTAATGTATAGAAACTCAAAAACAAAAACATAACTAGGAATGTTACTATCCACTGGACCAAAATTTCAGCATAAATGATTTCTTGATGTGCCATTTCACATACATGTGAATCTTGAAGCTGGACGTTAATGTTTTCTTTATTTTCATGCGGAGAGAACAATCCAAAAAAGGACTGCCAAAACCTTCTCTTTTCTACTGGTTCGGACATGACCACCATTCTTACAATACTTGAGACATGATCAAGGATGTCTTTGAATCCTTCATTAGCTTTATTGTATTTTTAATTTTTCACACTTTTCGATTGATAAATATAGAGAAATATTGAAAAGTAAATAATGAACTACCAATTCCATATCACCTGCATTATACCATTGCTCTGAAACAATAATTTGATATTGTAAAATATATCAACTCAAAGTAGTGAACATTACAAAGTATTACAGGCATAAGATCGTTTGTGCAAAGTTCATCAACAACAAAAAAATAACTCTGGAACTGTTCATCCGATTATTAAAAAAAATCAAACTCATTCAATATGTAGACGGACATGGGTGACGCCAATATACAGTCGAGTAACCTAATTTCGTGGAAACCTATTATTCGTGGATTTCCGGAAAGGATTAATAATTTACATGAGCGACCTCCGCATTAGTTTGTTTTAATAAACATGGGTTTTCTCTACAGTATCAGCTAGTAGAATGAATCCAGTAGTTTCAAGCAAGGTAAAATATATTAATGTATACTTTGACAAATATAAAATGGCGGATTTCACTTATTACCAAACGTCACCATTTTTAATGGGCCGAATTTCCTTATAATCCCAAGTGGTAATCGGAATTCCAAGTGTCGTCTGCTAGAATATATTCCAACGAATGAAGTCACGTGATCAACTAGCGGATTTCGTGTCAGCAGAAAATTTCTATGGAACACAAAGTGGACCATATTCTTATGTTGTTTCAGTGACTTTTAGCAATAAATCACGCTACGTATCATATTTTGTCAGTCTCTATTTTTTTTTTTAAATCGTGGTTCTTTCAAGGAATTGTCACTAGTTATAATGAATTGATATTAAAGATAAATACTAAGAGAAGTTAATTATACCACCCGGTATCCATACAACGTGTTTTTCTAGACTTATTTATAGATCAAACATTGTACACGAAAATAGGTGACGCATTCTGCCGCCGTTGCCGAGATGGTTGCTCATGAAATATGGGTCAAAGTGAAGGATTCATAAAGAAAATCGAAATAAACCAATTTTAATTATTTCGTAGAATATCTGAGGAAACATCTAAGACATAAATTTTTTTTTTCGTTTTTTTAACTTTGACGAAATTTGGTGTCGCCTCCATTGCATTAACAAGCCAACAAATTTTGATGCGTTTTTACTAAGTCAAGGGAAATAACTCAAGATAGCTTTCCAGGCAAGGTAACATATACCCACTGGCAGCTGTCAGAAATGATAAAACAGTCTTTAGTGACTAAAGTATGAATTTTCTCATATTAAAGAAATTTTAATAGTTTGAATTTAATGATATATATATTTACTGCCAGTTATTAATGCTGAGAAATTTGTAAAAATCAATATCAATAACCCAAATACATCAAATTATCGCATCAATATGGTTCATTAAAATCAATTGAAAACTGTAGTCTCTAATGTGTTCACAAATAAATTTTGATGCATTTTTCCTATGTCAAGGGCAGTAACTCAAAGATCATTCATCAAAATATTATCAAATTCGAACTTGGCCAAGATCTCATCAAATAAATGATCACACCAAATTCTATTAAATATCAGTTGAAAACTGTAGTCTCCATTGTGTTCACAAGGAATGTTGATGGACCGACGGACAGGGACGACAGCAATATACGTCCACATTTCCATGTATATAATATAATAATATTACCAAGTTTCATCAAAATCTGTCAAGAAATGGGCCTTCTAGAGTGTTTACAGGCTAAAACTTCAACGCGTTTTAAGAACAAGGACAATAACTCATAAATATTTTTCGATTTTTCTGATTTTCGATAGGGTTCACTGGGTGAACTCAAGTTTTATCAAAATCCATCAAGAATTGTGCCTTCTAGAGTGTTTTCGTGTTACAAATTGAACGTATTTCAAGAACAAGGGCATTAACTCATACGCCCAGTTTCGTGAAAATCTTTCAATAATTGAGTGTTTACGAGCTAGAAATTGAACGCAATTTCAAGAACAAGAGCAATTACTCACACTTATTATTTTTTGCTTCTTCTAATTTTGAATAAGATTCATCCTTGGCTGATAACTAACACATATACCAAGTTTCATCTAAATCCGTCACGAATTGTGCCTTCTAGAGTGATAACGAGCGCTTCAAGAACAAGAGCAATAAATCGTACTAAATATTTTTTTGATTTTTTTTGATTTTCAATACGGTTCCTCTTTGGGTGATTACAAACAACCATACCAAGTTTCGTCAAAATCAATCAAGAATTATAAAAATCGGACAAAAGCTGTAGTCTCTGTTGTGTTCACAAAAAATTTTGACGGACCGATGGACAGGGTCGACGGCAATATACGTCCACACTTCCATGTCGCTTCTAATATGAGTGAATCAGCATTTGCACAAACAAAAATCTCTTATGTAGGTTTTTTGTCTCTTCATATGGACCTTAAGGAATATCTGTTGAATCTGTTAACCACTTCATTTGACGCATAACCCAGTGGTCCACTGTTGACTAGACGTTCAACTTCTGCAAACACGGTTGACATTTCATTCCATGTTAATATCTGTTCACCAATAGCTACGTAACGCTGTCTTAGTCTGCTTGGTGAGGGATTCCAATATTTTCATCTAATTTCACGTAAAGTTCGTTCAGTGCCAATATGACCTATTTTGTTATGGATGTATCTGCAAATTAACTTAAATACAGGGTTATCAGGACTGAGTAAAACAGGATGAATTTGATAATAGGGTAATGTGGATCTGCTTAACCTGCCTCCTACTTGGATTATACCATCTTGCTTAAATGGTCTCTATATTTAAATTACCAATCTGGTCCACTTTGAGCAAATTGAATCCATAGTTTTTCAGATCTTTCCAATTCAGTCGGATTTAGAATCACTGAGTCTATATCACTAGTATGTTTTTTGCAAAGTCTACCAATGAATCGCAGATCACTCTGAGAATTCTCTGATAATCTCAAAACAAACAAAGATCCATTACCTTCTATATTCTGGTAATTGAATACAATGAACTAACTTTCTTGCATTTAGGATCATCAATCAAATCTATTGTTTCTACCATTTCTTGAGGTCATTCTTCCTTGGGTTTCTTAAAGAAATCAGGAACATTTGTCCATCTACCATTCATTTCTTGGACTTTTAAACTGCGACTTAAATCATCTGCTTGATTCAAATTACTTGGAACATGACGAAATTGATTACTGCTCTATGTTGACTGCATATCTGATACTCTTACACCAACAAATGGTTTCAATAATATCGAGTCGGATCGTATCCATGGTAAAACTACTTTAGAATCTGACCATAGAACTGTTTCCTTTGGTTTTATTTTGGACTCTTCTGTGATAGTTTTGGCAAAACTCGATGAAACCAAAAATGACATAAGTTCTAGACGTGGAATAGTGTTTTGCTTCAGGAAAACAAATAGCATCAATTGGGCGAATACATCTCGAAAATTCTATCAGGCTCAGGTTTAGTGATACTCCTATGTATTGACAAGCTGGCTCGAAAAACAACTTCCATGGTAATGCAATAATATAACGATTATCTTATCTCTTGAATGTTGATTCCATAAGCTGCAAAGCTTCTTTGTTATCTTGGGAAAAAACTCCGTTATTTGAGCAGGAAATTGAATCCCATGTGTCTTGAATTCATAAAACTTGCTCAAGTCAATCTTCTCAATGAAATTAACTGCAAGGACAGGAGAGTATTTCTGGCTGTAGTTGGGACCAATGACATACCAACCAAGTCTTGTTCTCTTCGCCACAGGTTCGATTTCAAGTCCCTCCCTAATCTCTAACACTGCATGTAAGTGACTGTACTGTATAGTGGCCCAGGGCTTAAATATCTTTAGAAAAAATATTAGAAGTCAATTTGATTTTCAAAAGATTTTAAATCGATTCAAATAAAAAAAAAAAAAAAAAATTATTGAAATAAAACAAAAGAAAAAGACAAATAAACTGAAACAACAACAAAAAAAAAATTTGATTTTCAAGTGAAAAACATTTTAATTTGATTTTCAAATGAAAAACATTTTAATTTGATTTTCAAATGAAAAACATTTCAATTTTATTTTCAAATGAAAAACATTTTAATTTGATTTTTAAATGAAAAACATTTCAATTTCATTTTTGTTTTTTCATTTCATTTGTCTTTTTTACTTTTGTTTTATTTCAATAATTTTCTTATTTTTTTCATTTTTTTTATTTGAATCGATTTAAAATCTTTTGAAAATCAAATTGACTTCCAATATTTTTTATAAAGATATTTAGCCCTGGGCCACCATACAGTACAGTCACTTACAAGCAGTGTTATCAAACCTATCGCTATAGCTATATCGTACATATAAGCCAAATTTCACTCACTTCAGTATTCAGCATCGACAATGACTCTTAGGGACTATGAGTTACCTCAGTGACCCACATGCCCAACAACGGGTCTTCAAAATGTGATTATATCTTGTATATAAGACACATTGCACACACTTCAGTATTATACCTTTACCGGAAGTGATGATTAGAATCGTTTCATCTTTTAGTAATGTAACCCTTAGACATCGACAATGACTCCTAGGGACTGAGTCAGCTCAGTGACCCACATGTCCAGCAACAGACCTTCAAATCTATATCGCTATATCGTGGATATAAGCCAAATTTCACCCACTTCAGTATTATAGCTCTACTGGAAGTGATGATTGGAATTGTTTCAATTTTTGGAAATGTAACCCATAGACATCGACAATGACTCTTAGGGACTATGAGTTACCTCAGTGACCCACAACAGGCCTGCAAAATGTGACTATATCGTGTATATAAGCCAAATTGCACACACTTCAGTATTATATTTCTACCGGACGTGATGATTAGAATCGTTTCATATTTTGGTAATGTAACCCTTAGACATCGACAATGACTCCTAGGGACTATGAGTCAGCTCAGTGACCCACATGTTCAACAACAGGCTTTCAAACATATCTCTATATCGTGCAT